TAGTTAGTTGTGAAGTATTGATGAGGATTAAACTCACACCAAGGTGTGTAGGCATGATAGATTTCCGTAATTGCAATAGAGCGCTATTTGTAATAATCGGTAAATTTGGTACATCATAACCAAGCACATCTTATTCCAATATCACTTTAAGTTAAGAAATTAGGCATGATTAGATAAATGGTCCTTGTGGTGATAAGATAATCGGAAGATAGCCCTCATGGTAAAATATTAAGATTTAAACTCTCGTGTAGTTCGTTAGCAAATTTAGTCCAAAAGTTAGTTTTCAGTTAAATGCAGGATAAAAATGTATTTTAACTTATTGTTTCTTTCTATTCACATTCTTTCTTCAAGTGTGGTGAGTCTGGACACATGGCGAGGGACTGGAGGCTATGGCGGCGGAGGCAGCTATAGAGGTGGTGGTTGCAACGGTGGTGGAGGTAGAGGTGCTTCTGGAGGCTTCTACCACTGCACTGAATCCGGCAATTTCGCGAGGGAGTGCCTGGACAGAGGTTGAACCAGTCATTTCCACTTCACCATATCTCTGCATATGCTGCTGGTCTGTTTGGTTTCTGCTTAACTAAGTCTTGGTTTCTATGAATGAAAAACTTGTTTCAAGTGTTTCAAGTAGTTGTAGTTGTCAGTTTTATGATCACCTCCTTGATTTCAATCTATGGAAATCATGAAGTAAATGATTCATTTTGGTATAGTAATTTTTCTTTGTTTTTTTGGTTAAGTTTTTAAGTGTAGATTTAGTTTTATTCTGGGAGAAAATGTGGATGTCGGTTAGTGGTTGGATTTTGATTCATACACATTAATATTAACGACAAAAAGAAAAGAATTTATTTCTGTGGGTTTGATTTCAATTTCGAACTTTGTCATTCCAGAGAAACCTTTGAGTTCTTTGTGCACAGCAAAGTAATTGGAAAGCAAGTAATCAGGAGCATCAGGGCCACTGAACCCATCATAAGTCCCTATGAAAAGCCAATCATGTTCCTCCGAAATAACCACATGAACTCAATCCTTGTAGGCTTTTCCTTGAGCTGATTCAAGATTTTAGCTTCCCATCGAGTAATGTCCCCTGCCACCATTCTCATTCTCATTACGCAAACTCACATGGCCGCTCTAATACAAATCATAGACTAAGTAAAGAGATAAGGAAGAAGAAGACACACATCAAAGTACATTTTACCCTTGCATTTAACTGACATTTAACAGAAAATTAACATTTGGACTAAATTTGCTAACAAACTACACTACAAGGGTTTAAATCCTAATTTTTTTTTTCACAAGGGCTATCTTACGATTACCTTATCACAACGAGGACTGTTTATCTGATTAGGCCAAGAAATTAACACCATACTCAAATTAACACTTGGCCGAATAATAAATGATCGATAACACATTAAAGACTTTTTCATGGAGGAAATATAACTTATAGTTCATTAATGCAGTCAACATGACATGTCATTACATATAGTGGAACTAATTTTTGAGTAATGCTATTCATACCATATATTTATACCATATTTCTATACCATCTTAGTGGCATCTGATGTGGACAGTCACATCATTTGAAAAATTTGCAAACCCAAGGAAAGAACGGAGAAAGACTCCTCGTATACCACAATCATTATTTAATTAACTAGTTTTTCTTAATTATTATTTTATTAAATAATGAACTAAATTTAAAAATCTGATTAATTCAAATGATGTGGCTGTCTACATCAAATGTCACCTAAGGTGGAATGAAAATGTGATACAAAGACATGATATGAATAGCATTACTCCTTATTTTTTGCCAACTATTAATGCTAATGAGTTTAAATCTCAAGGCATTACTGTTAACCTCAAGTCGTTGTTGGAGATAATCACGCCACATAATGCAATAATATATAGATTTACTTTAAAGAAAGTATTAGAAGTGTTTGTTTTTCATTCGATTTTCAAAAAGTTGGTGTTGACACTGGACACAAATTCTCATCTTTCGTTACCATCTGTTACATAATGGAATGGTTCTAAAGCGTCAAAAAGCATAACCAATTCGATAGGACGACATAGATGTTCCTTTCCTTAATTTTGGGTTGACAAGAATTATTTAGTTGACTAAAATAGTACATATTAAGAATCATATAATCTAATGGATTGCTCGTAGATGGAATGAACCATGAAGGGGAAAAGGGGGACTGCTTTAGCGTGAATGTTTTCATACTCAATAAAGTTTTGTTGGTAACTATTTTTAATGGTGTAAGTGTGCCAAAACAAAACAAAAATAATGCTAAACATATCACATTTTTACACTAAATTTGATCTGAACTTTATATTTTTATGTCGATTTGCAGTGGTAGATGGTGGCGTAGAGTGGAGATGCGGTGAATCGTCAAACTCTGCTTGGCTCCTATACATGTGAGTTTGATAACGTTAATCCTCAGTGTATAAAGAGTTTCAAGAAAGCAGGGTTAAAATTCAATAAGAACATATACACACTACTGACGTATTTATGATCCAAGACTTTTTCCTTTATATATCAAAATTTGTGACTGATTAATGTTGGTTTTAGACTGCGACATACAATTTATAGGAGCAGTCCCTAATTTGTATTACCGGAAATGTTCACCAAAAAGTTAAAGTAATGATCCATAACTAAAACGCGATAATAGCAGTCTTCATCTACAATCTAGAATGAATATATATATATATATATATATATATATAGAGAGAGAGAGAGAGAGAGAGAGAGAGAGAGAGAGAGAGAGAGAGAGAGAACGACAGCTAGCTCCATTGATCAATGATGTTTTCTTCTTAATTCTTTTATCCTAGAGGAAACCCAACACATTTCCACAGCCTTCCATCCAATAATATACTTTTGGGTTTTTTTTTGAGAGTTGAATGCAAGCCATGGAGGTCCAGAAGAGCAACACAGACCATGTAGCTAGTCACCATAGACCAACCAAACCCCAAACTCAAACAGTCACCCCAGGCAGACTCTAATATTTCAATCCCACAACCCTTATCAAGTGCAAAAACCCTTAGACGCCTAAACTTTTCGAAGCCCCGGTCACGGTTTGAGGAGATTAAGTACCCTTTGCCACCAAAAACAATTCATGAATCAGAACAACTCCAACCCTTCGACCCCTATCAAGACAACAACTCGTCCGCAGATGAAGATGACGATGAAGACTGGTACGAAAATGAAGAAGACGATGAAGATGATAACGATGGCAAGCAAGGAAAGCACCTAAAGAGAAGGAAGAGAAAGATAAACAAGCGAGCTGTAATTGAGTGGACTTTGTTCCTCACAATAATGACTTGCTTGGTATGCTCTCTAACCCTAGATTCTCTTAAAAACAAAGTGAAATGGGGCTTGGAGATATGGAAATGGTGTGTAATGGTCATGGTTACGTTTTGTGGGCGTTTAGTTTCTGGTTGGGTTGTGGGGTTTCTTGTCTTTATCATAGAGCGAAACTTCATGCTTAGAGAAAAGGTACTTTACTTTGTGTTTGGTTTGAGAAAGAGTTTCCAAAATTGTGCTTGGTTAGGCCTAGTTTTAGTTGCTTGGATGAGCATGTTCCCTGACAAGCACAACAAGGTCCTCAAGAATATCTTTCGTGCTCTTATCGCGGTGTTGATCGGAGCCACGATATGGCTGCTTAAGATCTTGTTTGTTAAAGTCTTGGCATCCTCATTTCATGTAGCTACATTCTTTGATCGCATGAAAGAGAGTGTTTTCCACCACTACATTTTGGAAGCCCTATCTGGGCCTCCACTGGACGAGGAAGAAAGGGAGCTTCCGCAGCGTCGTTTTCAGGCGTCGAAGTCGTTGCCTGCAAGGCTGCGAGACAAGTCTCATGGGGTTTCAAGGTCCTATAGGCGAGAAGGGTCAAGGAGGATTGACATGGAGAAACTTAAAAGGTTGAGCATGGCGAGTAGAGCAACGGCATGGAGCGTGAGGAGGCTTGTAAACTACGTTAGGTCTTCGGGATTGTCGACGATTTCGAGAACTATAGATGATTTTGGAAATGCAGAGTCGGAGATTACAAGTGAATGGGAGGCGAGAAATAGTGCTCAAAGGATTTTCAAGAATGTTGCTAAGCCTGGTGCTAAGTAAGTTTTTCACTTTTCACTGTCCCTGCCTACTATACTTTTACTTTCACTAAATAATTTGCATATATAAAATAACAAATGGTGCATGCCAACCCTCTTTATTATGATATTAGGATGCATGCCAACCCTCTTTATTAATTTGCTTTATCACTTCTTGTGACAATGATGGTTCATCATATATTTGAAGTGTAATTATAAATGGTCCCCTTTTTTCTTTTTTCAAAGGTAGATAAATGGCCCCTTTCTTACTTTTGCTTTTCTTCTTCTTCTTTTATTTCTTTTTTATTTCTTTTATTTTTTTAATTTTATTTTTTAATTTTTTTTTTTATCTCTAGCAGTTATCTCCTTGATGGTTGACAGGTCGACAGGTTGATGGGTAGGTGCATTATAGTGTCACTTAACACACCTATTCATAATGTTATGATGCTTTGCTATTAGGGCACACTAAAAAAAACTCATTTCCAGATGAAATAACTTTGTCAGACTAAATACATGTCCGTTGCCTCTTATTTTTCCGGCAACATTTCGTTAGACAAAAGTTATCATGCTCAATTATTTGCCTAACGAATAATAAACATTCATCAGACAAGTAGAGTTGGCCCGACAAAATAAAGTCTTCGGGTAAAAGAGCATTAACTGACTTGACCTGATGAAAGAAACTTGATTGATGACATTACTTCATCGAGTTTTCTAAAAATATAATAATTAAAAACATTTTGCCCAACGAAATATTCATCGGGCCATTATTTGAAAGAAAAAAAAAACAAGAAATACCTGCTCAACGAAATTGTTCGTCACGCAAAGTATTTAAACATTTTTCCAAAAAATCAAAATTTAAAATTTTAAATTAGAATTAATTAATTAACTAATTCTAATTATATTAATCTAAAAAGGTAAAATAAATCACAATATTAAAGAATTTTATTTAATTATATTAAAATAAAATATTTATAACAATTGTACGTAAAAATACTAAACTTAGTACAACTACTAGGTGACTGCTGAGGTGGCTGGTTGGATGGTCGCTGAACGTTCAGAAGATCAGGCTGACATTGATTGGTCTATCCCAACAATGTACCGCATAATACCCTCCTCTCGCTAGCGTGCATCTTCTCTAACTTCTTCGTCTCGCTGGCGTAGGACCACTAACTCCATCTCCAACTGCTATAGTCTGGAAGACGTCCCGCTTATAGTCAAACAGCTAGATGAAGAAGATCACCGAGGTCTCGAATCCGACGCGCTCCTAGGCTGGGAAGTTCTTTGCTTTTAGTCGGCCAACCCGTCCATTTGCAATTGTAGAGATAGCTCTAGATCAGGTGTCAACTCCTCCATTGACGTGTCCGGTTATTGTTGGGTGATATACTCGTCCTTCTTCTGCAACATAGAAGCTTACAAAAAAAAAAAAAAAAAAAAAAAGAGTAATCAATTAAGATTATCAATCATAATTTTAAAAATTTTAAGCCAATGAAGTTTGAAATTAAAATTTGAACGGAATACGTACATGAATGTTGTTTCCATATTTGGCATGCGTATCTCCCAAGCCTCGACTTCCGGGAAAAGCAAACTCTTATCACGATGTTCCTCAACCTGAAAAATGAACGGCTAAGAACCAGATTGATTATGGTGCAGCTTTGCTTCCCGATTAGCCTTATTTGCTGCCAATTTTTTATGTGAATTAAAAAAAATTAATTAAACTTAAAAAAATAAACAGAAATATAAAAAACAGAAATTGAAAATTAAAATTAAAAAAAAACTTACCAAAAATGTCGGGCTCTAAAAATGACTGCACAACCACTCCCACTGCCCAATCCTCTCCTTAGATTATGGGGGTCGATTTGTAAGAGTCCATCTGGAGATGCACAAGTCTTGTAATAACTTCCACTACTTACACCGCTCAACCCACACCTAATGTATGTACTCATTTGTATCCAAGTGCTTCATGTTGATGGAGAAGTTGGTCCGAAATAGACAAAAGAAACAAGTGTATTAGATTAAAAAGTACATTAAATAAGTAAAAGTAAAAGAACTAATTAATTAACGAAACTCCACACACTGAAATCTATCTCATCATCTGCTATGCACCTAATGCACCTAGGGAAGGGTAAGCATCTTCCGTGAAGGGCGACCATGGGGCATTTCGTACGGATGAAGGCACCCATATCGTAAGTCACTGTTGACTTTCGTGCTCGCTCGATAATGGTGTGAGCTATATTTGCTCGACGAATTACCTTTTATCGGGTAAATAGTAATTTCTGATAGTAGCGTGTTTACTTATGTTTTTTTTTTTTTTTTTTTTTTTTTTTTTGTTTTTTTATATAAAAAGAAATTAGTATGAGAAGGAAAGATAAGCAATTCCCTATATTAATGGAATACCTTCATTTTTAATATCTATCACACCCAAAACTTATGGGGCCACCTATTTCTTCATTCATCTGGTTGTTAACTACTGAATACATGACTGAGAATGATACTCATTCTTTCGAATTTCATTTCTTGTAAGTAAATATGCCATTAAGTTACATGGTTTACTATTCTTGGCCAAGAATAACAATAAATTTATTGTTTTATATATAAACAGTGCTCTTATTAGACTGTTTAATATAGGATAGTGTTATTCGCACGCCTATTTTTACCTCCCAAACACCCTTATCAATTTTGTCATTAATCTTCTTTAATTCATTCAATTTGATATCGAAAATTGAGAGGGGTATGTGAGGAGTAAAAATAAGTGTGATAACACTACCCTTAATATATTGTTTGTTATCTAAGTTGATCTCAAATTCTTTTTAATTTTGGATGTTTATTAGACATAATATGTTTTATTGTGTGATACTCCTGGAACATAGCATGTACAAAATATATAGCAAGACAGTATTATTCGAATTACAAAATTAAATTGTTAATGAAACTCAAAAAGTGTCTCGCCTTTTCAATTTTTTAAGCCTACAAAAGTATGCATTCACGAGACTTGGTTTATGATTACACTTGTTTTATATATAATAACGATTCAAATGAGTCTACTTGTTTTATATATATAATAACGATTCAAAGGAATCTTAATGACTCCTAATTGAGAGCTTCTTACTTATTCAATCATTCAGTCATTTTGTGCCTTTTAATTGAGAGTTTCTTGCAATGTTCACATCCACCTTCATTCATTCCAACGTACGTCCTTGACGACGATAGTGATTGTGAATACACACACACACACACATATCGCATACTGGCACACACGAAGGACATGAACTCAATAATATCATTTCAGTTAACATTTTTTGTGTGGCTTAATTAGGTTTTTTGTTCATGCACCGTAGCCTAGATAATTGAGACCGACCAGGCTTCGATGATACAATTCTCAAAGGCTCAAAGTTTTTTTTTTTTTTTTTTTTTCTTCGTCTGGCCGTCCTTATACAGATACATAGAAGAGGAAGATTTACTACGGTTCTTGAAGAGTGATGAAATTCACACCATATTTCCTCTCTTTGAAGGAGCTATTGAAACGGGAAAAATTACAAAGTCGTCCTTTAAAAATTGGGTGGTGAGTTTCAACATAATTCACATTTAGCAATTTCCTCACTCAATATAGCTGTTGTTACCAAAACTTAAAGAAAGAGACATGAAACTGAATCGAATCAAAACGGCACACATTGACCAATTTAGATATCCAAAGCTAATTTTATATATAGCACTACTCGTTTCCTAATAATTTTATAAAATTGGTTGACGGGTTTTATAGGTGCATGCCTATATTGAGCGTAAAGCATTGGCTCACTCCTTGAATGACACCAAGACTGCTGTCCATCAACTTCACAAGTTGGCGAGTGCAATCGTAATTGTGATTATAACTGTGGTGACTCTATTGGTGATGGGTCTGGCCACAACTAAGGTGATCTTTGTTGTTACTTCTCAACTGCTGCTTGTGGGATTCATGTTCCAGAACATGTGCAAAACTGTGTTCGAGTCTATCATCTTTGTGTTTGTGATGCATCCATTTGATGTTGGTGATCGTTGTGTGGTGGATGGAGTTCAGGTCAGAGATATTATATACTCTACTTTTCGGATTACCTCCTTCAGGAAATTATTCTAATTAATAACCCAAACTTTTTTTCTTTGGTCATCTCCTAAGAAATATTCTTGCATCATGCGTTCCCTAATTTGGAATTTAGGGGCTCATTTGTTGACGAATGGCCCAATTGAATACATAGGTATGTAAAGAAGATTTTGGGGAGTAATTTTGTAATTGGACCGACTGAAAATTTGACCAAAAAAAGCTAGAAAACTTATGGCGGTCGAGAACTTTATAGGGTGTAAATACAATATAGTATGTATGATAATGACCTAAAAAAAAGGTTTTATGAGTATGGGATGGAAAAGAAGTTAATATGAGTATTTCAAAGTTGTAAGATTTTTAAATGACATATTTCAATTAATTATTTGAAAATTCTTCGCATATGCCTATTGATTCGTTCATGTAGGGCATTCGTAATTCCTCATATCTAACCTTTTATGATTTATTTGTTCATTGCTATGCCTAAATCCGTTGAAATTTACCTCTTAGTGAACAAATTAAGTAGCCCTAGCAAGACTAACATATTACATAGGGAGTATTGCTATTCGTCTTGTTATTTATTCCTCTTGGATGAAATAATAACGTTCAATGCTTATTTTTATGCAGATGGTTGTAGAAGAGATGAACATTTTGTCAACCGTTTTCTTAAGATACGACAATGAAAAAATATTCTACCCCAATTCTGTGCTTCTTACAAAGCCTATTAGTAATTTCAGAAGGAGTCCAGATATGGCTGACAGTATTGATTTCACAATTGATGTCTCTACTCCTGTTGATGATGTTTCTGCACTCAAGAAGGCCATACAATTGTAAGCAACCCGCCTCATCCACCTTTCATATTTCCATTTTTGACTTGTTAAATTGCTTGTATAACCATGAAATGATCAAGCTAATAAAATACAACTGATTATAAAAGCTATTTCTAGTGATACCATTTTTTTTTTTTTTTGAAAAGAACCTTAGAGTGTTTCATTACTAAGAACATCTAATTCAAACACAATAAGTGCCATGTGGATCGTTTTTATAATAATTGCTTATGTATTGTGTATACCCTTCACTATTAATGAGAACTCCTCTACCCTATGAACGTAGCCAAACTTAGGATAAACCACGTACTTTTGTGTTTGCTTTCTTGTCTCTATCTCTTTACATATTATCCTCAATGGGTGACCGGAGCAACCAAACTTGACACTTTAGGTTATTCCAAAGTTTCATAGATTTTGTACATCAACAATGGTAGATTAGTAATTTTCTCTATATAAAAATATTAGAAAAAAATTAGTCTCTTTCACATTTCTTGCTAAATTCTCTCTTCCATATTTTTTTTTTCACGTGTGGAATTGCTACTATATACAGCGAAAAGTTACATTATAACACTTGGCACACACTGATAGGTGGCAATAATACTACAATATCACTACATTTTAATATATGTTGAGGAATTATTTTTTGGTTACAAATGCTGCATGGAATTTGTGCAGATATATTGACAGCAAGCCAAAGTATTGGTCCTCAAAACACTCAGTCATAGTGAAGGAGATTGAGAATGTGGACAAGATGAAAATGATGCTGTGTGTTCAACACACCATGAACCATCAAAATTATGGGGAAAAGAGTGCTCGAAGATCAGAGCTCGTGTTTGAACTGAAGAAGATTTTCCAAAATCTTGGCATAAAGTACCATCTTCTTCCTCAAGAAGTAAACCTCCCCAATTCAACGCAAGCAATGAGAGGTTAACCATACCTTCTTAATCACTACCACTTTCCATGAGGAGCCTGTAAATTTACCGGCACTTCACTATGCTAGACTTGCATGTCGTTTGTATGACAAACTTAATCAAGCAAATATGAGAGATGCAACTAATGGGGTTTTCAAGCGGTTGAAGTTTTAATGTAAAAATTATTTGAATGTGTTTAATATAAAAGGAAGAAGTTGTGTTTTCATTGCACTACAGTAATGCTTATTGATACCATCATGAGGTTGGGAGTTCAGTTTCTTGTGAAGCACACTATGAAGTTGCTGGTGAATATTTATGGTAGTAGGAGATGGTAATTTAGCTACGAGGAGGAGGGATTGGGCTTGATGAAGTTGGCAAATTGCCAAACAAGAGTTGGTGATCAAGTATCAACATAGTAGCAAATGAAAGACAAAACGCAATCCTGTCACCGCCGTCCTGGAGTCAAGAAGAACAGAAATTGCTGACTACGAAGATGGATACTACCGGTATTAGAAACGAAGGCTAATGCGCATATATAGTGCACCAAAATGGTGTGCTGTTGCCCTAGATGCCGACGAAGAAGAAGACCGCTGTACAAAGCCTACACGTTGGATAAGAAGGCTGCACTAACGTGCAAACTGCACAAAAAACGGTGCAATTGTTGTTCGAGTCGTTAACAAACTCACTTAATAAAATGACTGCAAAATTAGTTCAAGCCCCGTACATGGGTCACAGCTAGGGGCCAAGAAATTGCGTACAAGAAACTAGGAAAGCAACGGCAGAAGATGTAAAACAACAGAGAATGTTGCAGAGTATAGACCGTAAGTTTGAGAGATTCGGAGAGAGAAAGAGAGCCTGAGGAAGAAGAAAGAAGTTTCTATATTTCTGTAATGATTTCTTACATATACAATTGAGATATATATCTTTAGACTTGCTTAATGACTAAGCAAACACTCAACTCAACAACCTTATCTACAACTTAACAACCTTATCATCACAAAGTCCCTAATCTATTGCCACACGACACTTAATACAACCATTGATTCCATATTGTTATCATCCCCTCTCAAGCTTAGGAGAGGAAGGTCCAAGCTTGAGATTGCAGCAGTGAGTATGAAACAATGGGGATGAAAAACTTTTAGTCAATATGTTAGCAAACTGTTGATTAGATGAAACAAACTGCATATGCAGAAGCTGTTTAGCCACTATTTCTCTAACAAAGTGCACATCAATCTCAATGTGTTTAGTCCTTTGATGCATGACTAGATAACAAGCAAGAGTAATAACAGACAAATTATCACAAAACAATGTAGAGGGAGTAGGTACAAAGATATGCAGGAAGGCAAAGCTATGGCCTAATCCAATCAATTCAGCAACAGTAGAAGCAATGACTCTATATTTTGCTTTAGTAGAAGACCTAGAGGCTGTGTCCTGTTTCTTGGAGGACTATGAAGTAGGATTAGACCCCAAAAAACTACCAATTCAGTTGTTGACCTTCTGTCATTAGGGTCCCAAGGACCCTAGCCTAGCCAACATCACTAAATGCATGTCCATGGAAAGCACCTTTAACAAATTGAATACCATAAGTCTGTGTACTTTTCAAATGCATAAGGATTCTTTTGATAGCAAGAAAATAAGATTCTAGAGGACAATGCATAAACTAACATACTTGGTGAACTGAGAATGCAATACATGGCCTGGTGAATATAAGATATTAAAGAACCCCTACAATACTTCTCTACAACTCTTAATTGTTAAAAGGTTTCCCATCATCATTTAACAACCTATTGTATGGAAAACAAGGAGTAGCACATGGATTTGATAGTTTCATTTCAGTCTTTACAAGCAACTTAGAAACATATTTGGCTTGAGAAAGAAACAAATCATCAGAATTCTGAGTAATATGAATCCTAAGAAAGTAATACAATGGTTTCAAGTCTTTAATATCAGATTCCTTGGTTAGAGCACTAATAACCTCAGTGACTGCAACAATGGCACTACCTGTGATGATAATATCAATGATCAGAACAAATTGTCAAACACATTTCTCAAATAAGGATGAGTTTGCATAAAAGGAAAGAAAGCCCAGAGAAGAAAGAAAGCTAGTAAACCTCTCATTTCAAACCCTTGAGGCTTGTTTTAAACCATAAAAAGACTTATGTAACTTGCAAATATAAGTAGACTTCTGAGAAACCTTAAAGCCTAGTGGTTGTCCTATATAAACCTCCTTTTGTAATATTCCACAAAGGAACACATTGATAGTGACTGGCAAAATTTGTACTCCTGAAATTGTGCCCAGGATGCTCATCGGAGTGTGTGCCCAACCGTGAATGCACACTTGCCAATGGACCTAGGTGGGAGTGAAAGCTTCTCTACGCGCTGAGATGAGAGAAAATAGTATCTCAAGTCCTAGGCGGGAGTGAACACTGCCAGAACGGTCGGTTTGTGGCTAGTTGAGTTGCTACTTATTGGGAGGCTGCTGGAAAGAAACGTAGTCGCCTACCCTCGTCCTACTTTGGGACCTCTTCAGAGTGCTCTAATTCTTGATGTGCTACAAGAGCTGATTCACCAAAGTTATCTGTTACGCAAAGGCAC